GCCAGTAAATCTGGTCTTTTTTTGTGAGTTAGAATTTTGTTCTACATCCTTCTCCAGCTCTGTCCAGAACCCTCTGTTGTGATCCCGGTCAGAGCTGTCAGTGGTGGTAGCCGGGCACCACCTAGCTGTACTGGACTCAGTCTGGTGGAGGCCTTGGTAGCTGTGGTCAATTAAGCTTTTGGACTAATCTTTTCCTTGTATCCTATTCTTTTCATTCTCCCTTGCTCCCAAAGGGGTGAGACCAGTGGAGTACCTTAGATGGCTGCTCACAGGCTTTTTAAGACTCCAGGGCCTGTCTAATCTTTGTCTGAAGAGTGAGCTTCAGGAATGGTTTCAGTTCTGGATTAACAGAGCATCTGGGGGCCATAGTTTTGGGGGTTCCTTCATTAAGTCTGGTCTTTTTACATGAATTTGAATTCTGTTCTGCATTTTTCTCCTGCCCTGTCCGGGACTCTTCTGTTGTGATCCCTGTCAGGGTGGTCATTGGTGGTAGCTGGGCACCATCTACCCTTGTGGTCTTCTTCAGCATCCTCCCATCTTATTTAAAAAACCACCCCTGGACACCACATCCTCCTCCAACCCAATCCCTTGCCCCCTCTTCATGGCCAAACTCAACAGAGTTGTCTACACTTACTGTCTCTTTCCTCAGCACCCACCTCTTAACCCATTGCATCCTGACCTCCGTTCTCACTGTTCCAAGTCACTGCTTCTTACTAAGATCCCCAGCAATCTCCAGGATCCTAAATCCACTGAGCACCTTATTTATGTTATTGTTATTTTTTGTGAGCACCTTATTTTAAACATTAATTTTGAATTATTCAAATAATGCACTGATTCATTCACCAAAAAAAGAAGAGTAGGACATCAGCTTTATGTCACCAGAGATAATCACCATTGTGAATTTGGTGGGTATATAGTATTTAAAAAATACTTACACATATGACCCATAGAAAAAATATAAAATATTCTGTGATTTTATAACAAAATATAAAAGGTTATTTCTACAGTGCATACTGTTCTTCAGTAGCTTTACACTCAACAGGTTTTGAAGATCTGTTCCTGTTGATGTATTTAACGCAGGCGACTCTCCTTGATCCTCTTGTTATCTGACCTCTCAACAATATTCAACACAGAGATTTTTTATGAAGAAACTTCAGAATAACATATGCTCCTAGTTTTAAAGAATTCAGAAGTATACAAGAAGAAAAGTGAACGCTGCTCTGTACCTGCCACCACCCTCATTGGGCACCTCTGACAGTTGAGGCACCTCCTTTTGCCCAGACACAAGCTGACAGTCAGGGCTTGCTTGTAAAGGAATGGCGCTGTACTCCATGTATGGTTCTCCCTTTTCTGGAGTTGTCTGTCTCCTCAGGTCCCGGGAGCCGGCTCTTCCATGTCTCTTGTTGTTGTTAGTTACTGTTGAGTCAGCTCTGACTCATGGTGACCCATGTACAACAGAATGAAATGTTGCCTGGTCTTGTGCCATCTTTATGATTGTTGGTATACTTGAGTCTGTTGTTGCAGCCACTGTGTATTTTGAGTGCCTTCCTAGGGGACACTAAGGGGCTCATCTTCCAGCAATGTTCTTGTGATTCATCAGCTAAATTTTTGGAAGAAGATCACCAGGCATTTCTTCCTAGTCCTTCTTTGGCTGGAAGTTCCACTGAAACCTGTCCACCATGGGTGACCCTGCTGGTATTTGAAATACTGGTGGCATAGCTTACAGCATCATAGCAACATGCAAGCCACCACAGTAGGACAGACTGACAGTGGTGGTCCCTGTCGTTGGCTGCCCTCTAAATGGTAGAGTTCCTCTGGAATTGGTCTCAGGCCCCCTTCTCTTGTAAACTCTCCCCCTTCGGAGATTTCATCTCCTCCCATGGCTTTAAATGCCATCAATATGTCCCCCACGTTTTGATCTCCAGTCCAGACCTGTATATCCAGCTGCTGACTTGACACCACAGGGTGTCTGGAACTCAGCGTGTTCAAATGGGTTCAATGTGTTCACGATCTTCCTCTTTCCCTTGGTGAATGGGCCCTCAGACGGCTGGCTGCTGGGGACCCCTCATATGCCCTCATCCCCACCCCCATATGCAGGCCATCACCAAGCTTGGCAACCCTGCCTCCCAAATGAATCTCCTCCCCTTTTTAGAGAAGGCTTGTGTTTTTCCCAGGGCAATTGCGGCAGCTGCTGGAGTAGCTGGACCTGTCTCCCCAGAACGCCTCGTGCCTTCCCTCAGCCCATTTTCATATGGTAGCTAGGGTGTTATTTTAAAATGTAAATCTGATTGAGTCATTTCCCTTCTTGAAATCCTTCAGACTGTTTCCCATCACTCTCAGGGTAAAATAATGAAATCCATATGCGGCCTTCTCGGTTGGTTTCCCTGTTGGCTCTGCCGCCTCCCTCTGACCTCATCTTCACCCCTCTGCGCTCACCCTGCCCAGGCACTCCAGCCTTCTCTCAGCTCCTTGATCAGATCCTTCACCTCCTTGCCTCAGAACCTCTGCACAGGCCATTTCCTGTACCAGGAACATTCTTTCCTTCCCTCTTGGCCTGGCTGAGCTCAGCTTAGTTTTCTGACCTCAGAAAGACTGTCCTTCACCCTCACACCCAGGTCTCCCCTTGCAGGTTCTCTAGCATCCTGTACTTAACTCTTCAAGGCTACCTCTCATTTGTAATTCCATCATTATTTGGTGTTTCCTTGTGGCTGCCTGTCTTCCCCACCAGCCTGAAAGCTCCACAGGGTCAGAGATCCATCTGCTTTATTCACTTGTTTTCATCAGCCTATCAGAGAGCCTGGTGACTCACTAGATGCTTAATGAATATCTGCTCAGCCTCGAGATTGTATTCGTCCTTATAGCACTGTGGTTAAGAGCGGGAACGCGCAAGTCTGACAGTCCTGCGTTAGAATTACAGCTCTGCTACATACATGCTGTGTGACTTTGGACAAGTCACTTAACCTCCCTGAGCCTCTGCTTCCTTCCTCATAAAATTATTATGAGGACTAAATGAGAATACACATAAAATATTTAGTACGATGGCTGACAATAAATAAACCTTCAATCAATGATAATAGCTATTATTTAAATATTTATAATCAAAGCAAAATCACAGGCCCCCAAAGTGCTACCATTCCTTCCTCCTCTCTTTTCATTACATGTGTTGAAACAGGAGCAAAAAACTTTCACATCCATTCAAACTCCAGGCGGAGGTGGGGAGACATTCCTGCCTCTGGGAAACAACTGTCATGGCAGCAATTCCAGCTCTGGAGTTGGCTGGACCTTTGTGTCCCATTCTGCCACTTCCCAGCTGTGTCACCACAGGTAGGTGGACTTCTCTGAACTCAGTTTTGTCCTCCTCAAAGTGTGGCGAATAAATAGGATCATAGCAGTTGCTGTTGAGTCGATCTGACTTATGGTGACCCCATGTGTGTCAGAGGAGAAGTGTGCTCATCGAGTTTTCAGTGACTGATTTTTCAGAAGTAGATCACCAGAGCTCTCTTGCAAGGTGCCTCTGGGTGGACTCAAACCTCTAACCTTTCACTTAGCAGCCAAATGTGTTAACTGTTTGCACCACGCAGGGACTCCAAATAGGATCATCAGATAGTAATAATAAATGGGGTCGTAGGATACACCAATAAATAATATGATAGGGTAGTTAGAGGCATCGCATGAGATAACATGCACAAATCCCTAGCACTGAAAGTTGCTGAATTAAAACTACGGTCTTATTACAGAGTCACAATGGCTAAAAGCTGCTCTTGTGTCTCCTGCTATGTTTTAAAACTGCTTCCCTCTTGACTTCCTTCCATTATTCATGGAGAGTCAAACCTGAGTTTGAAAGTTGGTTCTACCACCTACTCACTATGTGGCCTCTCTGAGCATCAGTTTTCTCCTCTGTAGAATGGCACTAATACCCATCTGATGGGTTATTGTAAGTATCAAATAAAATAGTGAAGCTAAAGCAGTGGTCAGCAAACTATGGGTGATGGGGCAAGTCCAGCCTGCCGCCTGGTTTTGTGAAGTTTTACTGGATCACAGCCAAGCTCACTGATTTACGTATTGTCTCTGTCTGCTTTCAGACCACAATGGCAGTTGAATAGTTACAGCAGAGACCATATGACCCAGAAAGCCTAAGATATTTACTCTCTGGCTCTTTGCAGAAAAAGTTTCCCGACATCTGATGTAAAGCATCTAGTTCAGTGCTTGGCTTGTGGTAGGTGCTCAGTGAACACTGCTACCGTCATCATCATCACATTGTCATTATTATTGTATCATTAATGCAGCAGTCAGGCAGAGAAGTGTGAAGAAGAGGAGTCCCTGAGGGGAGACAGGTCACCCAGCACAGTGCCACCTACAGAGCAGGCCTTTGGAGGTTAGGTAACCTGTTCCAAAAAGATGCTTGGTCTGGTGGACTTTCTTTTTAAAAAATTAATTAGTTTATTATTATTTTTTGTTTACTTATTTTTCATCATACAAATATATATAAAATGACATTTGCCAATTTAATGCTTTTTCACATGTACAGTTTAGTGACATTAATTACATTAATCATATTGTGCAACCATAACCAATATCCATTGCCAAACTTTTATCACGATCTGGTGGACTTTCTAATACACCAAGTAATATTCTCTAAACATTTAAATTGGCCAGGAAAATGTTGTTAGAAGCCCGTCATCAGGGCCCCTATGGGTCCATAGAGTGCCTTTGTGTGAATTAGAAAATGCATCTCTTATTTAAGACACGAATTGTTATAATCAGTATACTGATTTTTGTCAGAACAAGATGCTTTACTGCTGAGACCAGAAGAACTAGATGGCGCCTGGCTACTACTACCAGCTGTTCTGATCTGGAACACAATAGATGGATCCTGATAGAATGGGAACAAAATGGGGAACAGAACTCAAATTCTTAAAAAGTCCAGATTTACTGGACCGGTTGAGACTAGAGACTCCCCAAGACTATTGTTCTGAGATACTCTTTAAACCTTGAGCCAAAATTACTCCATGAGGTCATCTTTTAGCTAAATAACAGATTGGCTCATAAACAATACCACCCATGAGTACTGTGCTCCTTTAAAAAATCATCTATATGAGACCAAACAGTCAAGATATACTCTAAAGCAAAGATGAGAAGGCAAGGGGGCAGGGAAACTAGATTACTAGAAACAGAACAACCTGAACGGAAATAATTTAAGAAAGTTGACACACTGTGAAAAATGTAACCGATGTTGATGAACAAATTGTGTAGAAATTGTTAAATGGGAACCTAATTTGCTGTGTAAACTTTCATAACAAAGTATTATTATTTCAAAAACAATAAAATATTACTTTAAAAAAGATTCTTTACTACCGGGAAATTATAATAAGTATATAAATCTGCCATTCTATGTGAATAATGCCCCCCACCAGGATTGTGCAGTGTACAACCTGCTTTGCTGTCCATGGCAGCCCTATCTGTCAAAGAATGGTGAATGAGCATCAGTCCTAATTTCTGTATATCTGTTGTCTTAAAGCGAGGCCCACCTGTTACGGACCTCATCTGTGCTTCCTTGGGCTCCGTGGGCCCAGCAGGCCCTGGTGTCTCCTCACCACCACCTTTGGGACCCCACAGGCAGAGATGGAGTTGGTCCAGCGGATTGGTGTCCCTGCCAGTAAGATCATCTACACCAACCCCTGTAAGCAAATTGCACAGATCAAGTATGCTGCCAAGCATGGGGTCCGGCTGCTGAGCTTTGACAATGAGGTGGAGCTGGCAAAGGTGGCAAAGAGTCACCCCAGTGCCAGGTAAGCTGAGAACCACTTGCGTGGGGAGGCTGGGCTGGTGTGTGAGGGAAGAGGGGGTTTGGGGAGTGGAGTTGGGGCAAAGGACTGAGCTTGGGGAGAAGGAGGCAGTGCTGGTGTCCCCTGCTGTAGACCTGTCACAGTCACAGGAGATTGGGGCAGGTACTCCGGAACTGGACCCAGGATGGCAGGGCCTGGCTGGAACACAGGCAGAAATAACTGCTAACAGCCCAGGCAGAGCGAAGCCCGTGGTGTTATGGAGGTCAGAATCACAGGCTGAGAGGGTCAGAGGGGGTATCAGGGAAGCTTCTCGAAGGAGGCGGCATTTGAAGTGGGTCTTGAGGGATGAATAGAATTTGGGAGGGGGGCATAAACATGTATTAGACTGAACTGCATAAGCAAATGCATGAAGGTCAGAAACAGCATGGGGTGCTTGGCAGATGACCAGAAATTTGGTGTGGCTGGAACATGCCACAGGCAGGAGGTGGAAGGAGACAGTGAGTGACACTGGCCAGGGGCCTGATGCAGATGCGTCAGGGCTGGACGGTTGGCTCAGCCTGTGGTTTCCACACTGTTACTGACTCCCTGGGGATTCCAGGGTGGGTCTTGTGGTGAAGGGGAGGCCAGGTGGGCGGGATCCCTCTGGTTCACCCAGAGCACCTTCCATTTTGTCTGTTTTACATGATACTGGGGTTCTCCTTAAGATTTTGTTTAAAAATGGTTCCCTTTGTAAACAAAAAGTTTAAAAACTCTGGCAGTTGTGGAGGCTGATTGGAGCTGCCCAAGGGAGGATGGGTGGGGTGTAGCCCAGGGCAGGGCTGCAGAGATGGAGAGAAGGAGAAGCCCAGGGACGTTTCGGGCTGGATTGGTCAGCACTCAGGGAGCTGGAGCAGCTTCCTGGGGAGGAGTTGGGCATTTCTGAGCCACGTGGGTCGTATACCTGGACTCCAGAAGACATATTTGATGTGGAGGAGGCAGGGCTGCCCCAGCAGAAGTGTGCTTCGTGTCCCCTTAGGATGGTTCTGTGTATCGCCACCAACGACTCCCACTCCCTGAGCCACCTGAGCATGAAGTTTGGAGCGTCACTGAAATCCTGCAGACCCCTGCTTGAAAATGCCAAGAAGAGCCACGTGGAGGTGGTGGGTGTGAGGTGAGCTCTGGGATCTCTGCCACCCCCACTCACACCAGGCCCACTCTCTGTTTCCCAGGAATTGATTAATTCCGGGTGAGACCTCCCCCAGGTCCTCTGAGAAGGGCCTGTTACTGGGCCTGGAATTATGCCCTTCGAGAGTCCCTTCTCATTTGAAAGAAGGTTTGGAATGTTCTTCTGCCCTAACCCCACAGTCCCCAGAAGATCTGTTCCAGAGTGTTCTACCCAGGGACGTGGCTTCCTGGGGGTTTTATCAGCCTATAGGCCAAAGATTGCGCAGTCACATCCTTGTTCCGCCTCTTTTCTTGCAGGGAGAGGAAAGAAGTATAATAATGACCTAGCAATATTGCTTTCACTTATTCTGTACTTAGGATGTTCCAGGCACTGTGCTAAGTACTTCATGTACATTATCCCACAACCTTGTGTGGTACAGGGTCTTAACTCCATTTTATAGATGGGGTAACTAGAGCACAGGCAGGTTAAGTAACTTGCCAAGGTCACATGGCTGACTAAGGGGCACATCCAGCTCTGGCTGACTCTGGGGCCCCAGCCCTCATCCCAGAAGGCTCCGCCCCAGGTACAACATGGTGGGATGGGAGGAGCACCAAGTGAAGAGACCCTGGGTCTAGCCTCTTGTCCACCCCTTTCATGTCACATGGCCCTTGGCAACCCATTTAACCTTTCAGGCTTGCCAAAGACAAGGCCTGACCAGCTGAGGTTGGGGTGGTGGCACTGGTGCCCTGCATATACGCCAAGGTTATCCCTCCCTCCCCAGTTTTCACATTGGCAGTGGCTGTCCTGACCCTCAGGCCTACGCTCAATCCATCGCAGACGCCCGGCTTGTGTTTGAAATGGGAGCCGAGCTGGGCCACAGGATGCACATCCTGGACCTTGGCGGTGGATTCCCTGGTGTGGAGGGAGCCAAAGTGAGATTTGAAGAGGTAACCCTGTGGCCGGGAGTGTCTGCGCTGTGTTCTGAGGGATGGGGGCAGAGGGCAGTGAGGGTTATAGTGATCACAGGGAGCCTGCTCTGAGTGGTCCTGTGTGCTGCATGCTGGGCTTGGTGCTTTATCTGGATTATCTCACTTGTTATCCCATGCTACAACAGCTCAGTAGATCGAGGCTCATAGAAGTTAATTTTCTTCTGAGTCGACGGCAGAACCCAGCTAGATACCCAGCTCTGCCTGACACCAGCCCATGCACGTAACCAGCCTCACAGGACATACTTGCATAAGTCATAGGCTCTTTGAGGGTCTGGGTACCCCCTATTTGCCTCAGGTGGACTGATAAGATATCAGTGGGTGGGTGGGGGAAGGAAAAGCCCACCTCTGTGTCCACTCCCAGTCCATCTGTCTCCTCACTTCTAAGATGAAATCAAGAAAAATGTGTCTCAATCCCCACTCCAACCACTAGGGGTCACTTCTCTTTAGAAAAAGCTTCATGTCTTGAAATACTCATGTCTAGGAATTGACCCTAAGGACATAATCTGGGGTGGACACAAAGCATTAACCTCAAAGATGAGTAGTGCAGCTTTGTTTATGACAGAATCTAGTGGATTTCCCTGGTCCATCTAATGATTGGGTATTGGTTAGATTATGGTACATTTTTTATGATGAAAATAAATTATATGGGAAGGTCATTCACAATCTATTGAATATAACAGGTTATAAAAACATACATACACACAGCCATATAGCGTTTATAATAAAAGAATAGTGTTTGTTTGTATAGAAAAGAATTAAAGGAGCTACTCCAAAATGTTAACAATGATTAGGTTCATCTGGGTGATAGAATGAGGGATGACTTTATCTTCTTTTTCCTTTTCTGTATTTTCTGAAATTTCTATAATCAAAATGTGTTGTTTAACGAATTGGTTATTTATAAAAGATCTGCATCACGACTTCTGGAATCAGAGTACCAAGTGTTATTTTAAGACTGCCCCTTCCCATTGTTGGGGACATCAGAGGAGGCTATTTATATGTGATGAGGCTCTCAACCCACATCTGTCTCCTTCCTACCTCCCTGGCCAGCTGTCTGCAATTAGCAGCTGGGACATCAGCAGCTGCCAAGTCTTTCTTCATGGAATCAAAGAATCTTTCAAGAAATAGAGTTGGAGCTGTAGCAAGTCTTTAGCATAAACCTCACTCTTCCGACATGAAATTGTCCCCCTACCTTCCTTCTCACCCAGATTGCTTCTGTGATCAGCTCAGCCTTGGACCTGTATTTCCCGGAGGGCTGTGGTGTGGACATCCTTGCCGAGCTGGGGCGCTACTATGTGACCTCAGCCTTCACCTTGGCCATCAACATCATCGCCAAGAAGGAGGTTCTTTTAGACCAGCCCAGCAGGGAGGGTAGGTGCCAGGTGGGCAGGAAAGCACCATTCTCCCCTGTGGCTGGGGACAGTGGTTGACTCAGCAGGGTCTGGTTTTAGGCCCAGTGGCAACGGGTGAGGGAATCTAGAGAATGGGCCCTTGCTTTGGGGAAACTTGCAAACAATTCCCCTCACCTCAAAGATGCTTAGCATTCTTTTTCCTAGGCACGTTCATATTTTGTGAAGATTAGTTGTGATCAAAACAAACTGAGAGAGAATAGATATTTTATTAAGTCCATTTTACAGATGAGAAAACTGAGAGCCAAAGAAAGTAGGAGTGACTTGCTTAATACCTAGTAAGAGGTAAAGCCAGAATTTGACCCTGTGTCTATTTCCTGTCCAAAGTTCAGGCTCTTACTTACCCTACTGCTTCTCATAACGTCATGAAAATAGTTAATGACAATTTATATTTAAGTCCACTTGACAGATGTCAGAACATGGGCATGGAGAGGTTGAGTCACTAGCCCAAGATCACAGCTGATGATGGGCAGTGCTGGGATTCAGGTTTGGGCTGGGCTGGTGAAGCCTCTGTGCCTACCTGCCTCCATCAGCACTCTTCCCTGCCCTTCCAGATCAGACCAGTCCTACATTCCCTATGAGTGAGAGGTATCAGGGACCTTGGTCTTGGAGCTTTGGTCTCTGCTCTGGGACTCTCAGGCAGGAGAGCAGAGACAGCTCTGTGTGCTCTTCCCCAGAGAGGATCTATGGGAAGGAGTGGTGGGTTCCAGGTAGAGTGTCCTGTGTGTGTGTGGGGACAGCATTCTTCTGGCCTCCTTTATAGACCTGGGGGATTGTCCTATCTAGTCCACCCAGGAGACTTGGCTTCTCGTTCCAGCTCATCCCTGGCCCCATTGTGTGCCCCTGAGCAAGTGTCGAACCTCTTGGGGCCACTGTGTTTAGGTGGGCTGCCTTTGCATCAAGGGCCTCACATGCAGGTAGGAGAGTGCGTCCTGGGCAGGCTTGCTCACTTGCGAGAATGTGTGTTCCCAACACTCTGGTGAACCTTAGTCATGTCATAGCAGGACCCACTACATAGTTGAGGAAGGGGCTGTCCTTTTGCTTCAGAGATCTGTTAGGGCTACTGCGTCCACTGTCGTGCTAGCTCTCCACTACCACGCCCCCTCACATTGCTGCCCATGCTGCCCTTGACCCCTGCCCTCCCTGCAGAGGAAAACGGTTTCGCCCCCAAGACCATCGTGTACCACCTTGAGGAGGGCGTGTATGGGATCTTCAGCTCAGTCCTGTTTGACAACGCCTGCCCCACCCCCATCCTGCAGAAGGTGAGCCTACCCCATGTGGGCCTGTTTTCAATTAAGTGCTTAAAAAAACAAAAACAAAACATTTATTATATTTTTATCTAATTAAAAAAAGCAAAACACATTAATTGTAGAAAATAGACAACAAGGATGAAGAAAGGTATTCCCCATTATCCCACCACACAGAGCAAAGCTCTTTGAACATTTTGATATATTTCCTTTCAGTCTTTTTTTTTTTTAATGTGTATTTATACTTTTTTCCATAAAATTAGGAACATATTGTTTTATAGCCTGCCCTTTTTAATTTAATAGGGGTGTGGCTATTTCCATACCATTAACTAATTTTTTGCAACATGCTTTTTGATGACTACATAGTATTTTAACCAGCCTAACTCTAATGGTTAGGCATTTGGTTTCCTGTTTTTGAGCATTGTTAAGTATATCTTGGTGTACATCTCTGATTATTGCTCTGGGGTTAATTCCTAGAAGTACAAAAAAAACAATTCATCTTTAGTAGATTTGTCCATATGAACAAGGGAACAGTGAAAGAGAAAACATTCCCCGTAGCCTGTGGAACTCAGCCCAGGGCTTCCAGCAGCTTGACAGGGCATCTTTCAGAGGGAAAGAAAGGGTGCCGTGGTGTTTTCATGTCCTGGTGGCGCAGTGGTTAAGAGCTCGCCTGCTAACCGAAAGGTCAGCTGTTCGAACCCACCAGCCGCTCTTCTGGAGAAAGATGTGGCAGTCTGCTTTTGTAAAGATTATAGCTTTGCAAACCCTATGGGGCAGTTCTGTTCTGTCCTATAGGGTCACTATAAGTCAAAATTGACTCCATGGCAGTGGGTTTGGTGGTTTTTTTTTTTTTTTTTTTTTTTAAGATCTTTGCTTGTGCTGCCCCTTTTCCTGGAGGAAAACGTTCATTAAAGTGTCTAGCCAGCTACTAGACCATCATGAGACTTAATATGTGTTTTTGCCTTCTCTTTCCATCCTGTGTGGTCTCAAGACTCAATTGGATGTCAGCTCCTATTTGCAGATTTTCTGGTCCCTTATCCCACTGGAGGCACAAAGAACTCCTCCCTCCTCCAGACTCCCATATGCTGTGGGCGTGCTTGATGGAGTCCTCATCCCATAGTTGCATGGCTATTTATATGTTATGTCTGCTTAAGCCTCCCTGATGCGCTGAGGAATACAGAGTTTTCTACTCTGATGCAGTTGTGTCGACCATGTTCTTGTGGTCTCCCATATCCTACTGCACATAGCAGGGACCAGGCCAGCCACACCCGAGGTTACAAAGCTGGCAGCAGCTGCTTCCCAGTTGCTCTCCCTCTCTGGTCCCTCTCTTCCCCTTGCATGCCAATGTCCCCCCACCCCTGACCCCCATTTCCTTTATCAACTCCTCTGATGAGCAGGACTATGGTTCCAGCCCATTACCATGTCCCTCCCTCCAGGGTTTCTGTTCTTTTGGGTTTTTTTTCTAATTGTGCTTTAGGTGAGAGTTTATAGAGCAAATAAGTTTCCTATTTAAGAGTTTATACAAAAATTATTCTGTGAAGTTGGTGGCAATCCCTGCAATGTATCAGCACTTTCCCCGTTACCACCCTGAGTTCCCCCATTTCCATTCATCTGGTTTTTCTGCCCCTTCCTGCCTTCTCATCTTTGCTTTTGGGCAGATGTTGTCCTTTTGGTCTCATAGATAATTATTCTAAGGAGCACTTTCCTCACAAGTGTTACTGTTTATTTTATAGGCCTTGTTTATCATTTGGCTGAAAGGTGGTCCCAGGGAATTGCTTCAATTCCAAGTTAGAAGAGTGTTTAAGGGCCATAGTCTCAGGGGTTCCTCTGGTCTCTCTCAGACCAGTAAATCTGGTCTTTTTTTATGAATTTGAATTTTGTTCTACATTTTTTTCCCACTCTAACCAGGACCTTCTATTGTGATTCTGGTCAGAGCCATCAGTAGTGGTAGCCGGGCACCATCTGGTTCTTCCAGGGTTTCTATTTTGCTCTAGTTGATATTCCTGACTTGGGCAGCCGGGTGTTACTGACCCATTTTGCAATCTGTGTCATTTTTCCCCTGGGCAGTGTCGAAGCTTCTTCCTTCAGGTTGCCATCCACTCCCTGAGCCTGGTCATGTGACTGGATCCAGCACAGGGCCCATAGTCCGGTGTGGAAACAGACATGGCACAGATGACAACACACATAATAAATTAGCTACAGTTATGCTGGGAGTATATCAGAGGGGCTCAGCCTGGCCCGGATGTCTGTACCTTCTCCAAGAAAGGTCCCCCTTGCTGTGGTTGTGGCAGCTTTGTACCCTTGCTCTTTGCTCCCAGGCACTTTATTTTTGGACATCAGGTGTAGAAGGTTGTATTAAATATAATCCTTGGTTCAAAGCACACTTCTCGTCGTTGGACCATGCTTGGCCCTCTTTTGTTTGTTTTTTTCTTAAATTCAACAAATAGTTATTGAGTACCCTCAGTTTGCAAAGCACTGTGCTAAGGCCTGCAGAAGGGAATAGGTAAGAATTATCTGTGCCTTGGGAATACAATCTTGTTGGGTAAAAAGACTTGTATCTGTAGGGGTGTGTGTGTGTGTGTGTGTGTGTGTGTGTGTGTGTGTGTGTGTGTGTGACTTGTACACAAGCTACAACGGTGTCATGAGAAAAGTAAAGAACAATTGTTATTGAATTATTTTCAAAAAATATTTTAGTATGTATCTCTAAAAGATAAGGGCTTTTAAAACACAACCACAATACTACTATCAAGTAAAAAAATTGACAACTCCATAGTATCTACGATCATCTAGTTGGTGTTCAGATATCCCCAATGTTTCATGAATGGTCTTTATAGCTGAATTGCTGAAATCAGGAGCCAGAGAAGGTCTACATATTATGTTTGGTTGATATGACTCCCTCTTGATCTATCTTTTTTTTTGGCAATTGATTTGTTGAAGAAACTGAGTTGCTTTTCCTGTAGAATTTTCCGCACTCTGGATTTTTCAGATTGATGAATTTCCTGGATTTTCCTTTGGTGTTACTGAACATGTTTCACTGTGCCCTGTATTTCTTTGAAACGAGATAGTTAGATTCTGTGATTTGATTAGAGTTTGATGTGTTTTTTTTTTAGATAAAAATACTTCTTTGTTTATTTTTTAGTGTAACAAGAATCCTTATCATTTTACCACCTCATCCACATCTCCCTCCAATGCAAAGTAACCACTATCTTGAATCCTGTGTTCATCATGCCCTTGCTTCCTTCTTTTGTGTAGTTTTAGCATATACAAATATATTCCTAAAATGTATTTATGTGTGGCTATACTTCATTTTGCTATATAAAAAGGATATTATGATGTATGCAGCCATTTTGGATTTTTTTTTCACTTAATACCATAGTCTAGGAGTCTGCTGCTGCATGTCACTAGAGTGTATTCATTCAACTACTGTATAACACTCTGCTGGAGAATACACTGCAGTTTCTTCATCCACTCTCCACTTCAATTGTTTCCAGGTTTTTGCTGCTGTCCATGCTGAAGCTATGAATACTCTTGTTGATGTGTCTGTTATCCGTGTTTCTTTTGTACACGAGCAGGGAGTGGAATGGCGGGGCATAGAGCATATGAATGTTCAGCTTTATGAGATAGTGCCAAACTGTTTTCCAAAGTGGTTGTACTGATTTACAGTCCCACTAGCAGTGAATAAGAGACTCAGTGGTTTTGCATCCTTCCCATCACTTGGTATTGTCAGACTTAAACATTTTTCCCAATTGAATGAATGTAAAATGGTATCTCACTGCATCTTGATTTGCGTTTCCCTGATGACTAATGAAGCTGGACATTATTTACTTGCCGCATGTTTCCTCTTCTCCCAGGGACTTTGTAACCTTCTGTATTAGTTTCCTAGGGCTGGCTAACTAAATACAACAAACTGGATGGTTTCAAACAACAGAAATTTATTTTCTCAGTTTTGGAGGCTAGAAGTCTAAAATCAAGGTGTCAACAGGGCCACGCTCCCTCTGAAAGCTCTGGGGAAGAATCCTTCCTTGACTCTTCCTAGCTTCTGGTGGTCGCTAGCAATCCGTAGCCTTCCTTGGCTTGCAACTGTATCACTGCACTCTCTGCCTCCATCCTCATGTGGTGTTCCCCCTGTGTATGTGTCTCCACATGGCTTTCTTATAAAGATACTAGTCATTGGATTTAGGGCCCATCTTAATCCAGTATGAGCTCATCTTAACTTGATTACATCTGCAAAGGCCCTATTTCTCACAAAGGTCATATTCACAGGTAGCGGGGGTTAGGACTTCAGTGTAGCTTTTTGGGGGACACAATTCAACCCACAACCTCTTTCTTTCAGCTACTGCCCTTGATGTCCAAGCTTCTCCCCCAAGTGGTTTACACTCACTGCCCCTGCTCTTTCAGCTCCGTTCACTCTTGGAACCTCTCCAGTCTTGTGTCTGTCCCATGACTTCACAGAAGATGCCTTGGAAAGTCTACCAGCTTCTTCCATGATGCTAGGCCCAAAGGTGGCTCTTTTGTCCTCAGCAGCAAAATTTGACACAGCTGATCATCCTTCCCTTCATCTTCACCTTGACTCTCCTGGCTTCTGTGACAACATTGCTGGCCTTGCCTACTCCTCTGACTGTTCTCACCTACCACCCTGGCGGTTCTTCCACTGTGCACCTTCTGAATGTTGACTAGCCCAGGCATCAGTCCTTCATCCTCTTTACTGTTTACACTCACTTCCTAGGCGAACTCTTCCAGACTGAGGCTTTACATATCTTCTATACTCTAACCACTCCCCAATTTACATCTCTGTCCTGGACCACGCCACTGAGCTCCAGACTCATGTATCCAACTGCCCACTTGACATTTCTAATTGGGTGTCTCACAGGCATCTTAAATTTAACTACTCAAAGCTGAACTATTTTTTAAAAAATATTACATAGAAATACAATGGCTTTTTGCATATATGGAGCTTATATCCTATTACTTTTCTAAAGTATCAGTTCAAGAATTTTTTTTGAAAATTCCAGTGT